CAAACCCATTCAAGAGAACCAACAGTTAATAAACATAATCAAATCACAGTTCAATTTACTTCTCACTCTCAGAAATTTACATGCTTATATAGAGGACTACTTAATATGTGATGAAGTTAAAATCACATGTTTCCCCCTCATATTGGTATACGAATTACCTCTTAAGTAAAAATAAATTTTCCTTGTCTGTATATTCAAAAATTCTAGAGGTTGCCTTTGATGAGGGAGATTCACTTTTCCTTGCCTGTAAAACAATGAAAACTTTGATTAATTGAAAGTCCTCGGTACTTTCAATTATCCATATCATCACTCTACAATATCCACAATATTTATAAAATGGGTTTCAATTATCAAACATTCAATAAAATAAAAATTTCAAGTTAAGAAATACATTAGATAAAAATGACTTAGTATTGACAGCACACAATTATGTGCCGCTATATAGTTATTGTTGCACATAAATGACTTATCGTGGAAAATAGACTTAGCCGCTAATTGTCATTTTTCTTGTAGTGGATGTCAGATTTTTATTTTCTGTTTTATTTTATCCAAAATAAAAATGTTGTGTGATTTTAGAGTCGGGAGTCGATAATAATTTCTTTTGGCATTTGACCAAAATGTGTAGAAATATGAAATGGTTATGGGTAAATTACACAAGACTTCCTATACTTTAAAATGTATGAAATGGGTATGGGTAAATTATACAAAATGTATTGAAAGATTTTGCTTTTTTGTTGTGATAGTTTTTATTTGTTCGGTTAAGCTACCTCGAAAGGTGAACGTACGCCCACCTAAGATGAAGATTACTATATTATCCGATAGTCAGGAATTGTACTATATATATTCAAACTTTTCCAAATCTCCTTATGTGTGAAGGATTCCCATTCCAACTTTCAAGAGGATTGTGGTTCTTAACCAACACAACAAGAAGAATCGGAATCCCCTCTTTTGAAAATCACCCAAAACCACGAGATTATCTTCATGAAGAAATATGCTAGGTTTAATGGCATATACTATGTAACATGCTCGTGTCTAATGATCATAGTTTAACGTAGTACACCATTGTAAAGTTATACTTGGAGCATATTTGAAACACATGCATATAGTTATAGTACCTTTGGGAGTATATGCTATTTCGAGAGCTTTTTTATACACACGTCCTGAAGTACGAGAAGCAAGTAAATTCTAGTGCACGTCTAAACATGCATGCATATAGATTAGGTTGGATACGGTTCATCCTAACATATCTTGGTTGGAATAGATTCTATCTATTAACAATGTTTTGGAGAGGGGACATTGATTCTGAGAATAAAGTTAGCTACTTGAGAAAACAAGAGATGCAAAGAGCAAACACAAAACCTAACTGCTTTCAATTAGTTGTTTTCTTTTAAAACAACGGCTAACGAACAATTAATATTGACCGTTAAACGAAGTTCGGATCATTAACACAGGCGCCCAACACGTGCTCGCGGGCATTACATGTATAGGTGTCAAAACATAGCCCGGCCCGATTAACCCGCCCGATCAACCCGACCCGCAACCCGATCGCAATCCGAATTGACTAAAAGTCAACAACCCGTAACCCGCCCGGCCCGCAACCCGATTGAACCGCAACCCAACTAACCCGCAACCCGATTAACCCGAACCCGATTGACCCGCAACCCGACTGACCCGCAACCCGATTAACCCAAACCCGATTGACCCGAACCCGACTAACCCATAACCCGACCGACTCAACCCGAATTTCATCTAATCCACTTGAATAATTATAAAAATATACAATACATAGTTTTTCAAAATAAATTTTTTCATTCTAAACTTAAGTAAAATTATTTTTTCATTTCGTATAAGAAATTTTAAAAATATGAAACTCACTTGATATTACGTATTTTAAGAAAATTACAAAAATTGAAACATGAAGGTCACTTGAGATCATGATAATATTAATATAATATATAAATTAAAATTTTGGTTAATTTAACTATTCAATAAAATTATCAATTAAATATAAATAAAGTAAAGTAATGTATTTGGTAATTTGATGTTTTAAAAAAAGAGGGAAATTTTGGTGTATTCAAGTTTTTGGGAAGAGAAAGAAGAGGGAAGTTTGGTTCTTTGAATTTTTTAGAAAATAAACAAGTGGAAATTTTGGTGGTTTTGATATGTGAGAAGAGAAAGAAGTGGGAACGTTTGATTCTTTTAATTATGAAAGAGAAATAATGAGGGAAACTTTTGACTTTTCAACTTTTTGTAGAAGGAAACAAGAGGGTAATTTTGTTCTTTCAATTTTATGGAAGAGAAAGAGGAGGGAAAATTGAGTTTTTCTAATGTATGGAAGGAGAAAGAAGGAGGGAAATTTTAGTATTTTTGTGAAAAGAAAGAAGGAAACAAATTTGGTGTTTTCAATTTTTTGGTTTATCATAATTTTAGCTTTTGAAATATGAATCTTTAACTTTTATATGGAGGGCATGACTAGTTAAAATTATTCTTATATGCTTTAAAGGCTAATATGTATATATATATATGTAATTTTTTATGGGCTAATAAATAAATTAATCATTAGTTACAACAATTTATACTAAACTTGATAAGTAATTTTTGACGGTTCGTTGTTTAGGATATAAAGTATATGGTTAGGGTATAAGGTACATATGGTTTAGGGTGTATATGGTTAGGGTATAAGATATTGATGGTTTTGACGGTTCTAAGTTTTTTATTAACATATGTTCACTTGAAGTCATTTGAAGTCTTTAACGGCAGGAGATCCCTTTTTAATTTATGTTTATGGTACGTGGTTAGGGTACAAGGCATGTGGTGTAAAGTATAGGATATATGGTTAGGGTATAACAATTAGCAAATATCACTTTTTATCTATGTTTTGAAAATCAAAGTATTAATTTCACTTTTAAATTAACTATACTAGCAAAATCACAACTCAAGGACATATGGTTAGGGTATAGGTTATGTGGTTAGTGTATAATGTATTGATGGTTTAAAGTATACGATCAACAACATATACTAACTTAATATTGTTGATTGAGGGTAAAGCTAAGTGTATATGATATATACTATTGAGTAAGTTATGATTGAAGTCAAAATAATTTTACTAAATTTGATAGCTAATCTTTAATGGTTCAATTTTTAGGATAATTCGAACAATTTTACAAATAACTCATTTGGCAACAGTTTACTAAAGTTATTTGGGCAATGAGTTATTTTGAAATAACTCCTTTTATCACTATGCTTTTGCCAAATACCACACGCCAAATACCAGATTTGCATGGTTATACTAAACGAGATACTTTAATCCAATTACTACTGAATTAATACTAAAATATCAAATAAACAATTATCGGTGTCTTTTGGTTGCAAATATTGATATCACCATTACTATTAGCTATAATACTTTACCAATTATGATTAATTACATAACAAGTTTGCAAGTCATACAAATTGATTTAACATTTTGACTAGTTTTTTTCAAAAAAATAAAGTATATATATACGAGGTAGAAATAAATTGGTTAAAAAGTTGAGAAAATATTTTAAATTAGTGTAATAAAATGTGTAAGTTGGTAATGAGTAATGAGTTAAGTTACTTGATGCGCTGGCTCGAACAACCCGAAACCCGACCCGCCCGCAACCCGCCCGATCCAAAACCCGATGAACCCGCAACCCGATTTGCCCGCAACCCGATTGAATCCGAACCCGATGAACCCGCAACCTGACTAACCTGCAACCCGTTTGAACCCGAACTCGATGAACCCGAACCCGATGAACCCGCAACCCGTTTGAACCCGAACCCGATTGAACCCAGCCCGAACCCGCCCGATTGACACCTATAATTACCTGCATGGCATATTTGATTCCGATCAACAAATTGCGAACAAAATAATATGTGTAAATATGAAACTCTCTAGCTAGGTCACTTGACCCATTCATATTGTTCTTCTGTTGCTAAACGAGAATCAGGGGTGTGCAGTGGTCCGGTCTGGACCGGATATGACCAAATTCATGATAACCGTGGTTCAATAGGAAAAGATATCGTAGGAACGAGGACCGGACAAACAAACAACAACACAGTAAGTCCAGTTCAGTCCATTTGCTTCAGTCACTGTAGTCAAAATCGCGCTTAAAAACTTACGATTTTACGTTTCTAGGCCACTAAAACGCTTCTACATAAAATCTCAGTTTTTATAACTTATGTAGTTGAAAACTTCGTTTTAAAACTTAAAAACTATTTTTTAAAACTTAAAAGCTCCGTTTTAAAACTTAAAAACTTACGAGTTTACGTTTCTAGACCACCAAAACGTTTCTACTTAGAAACTCGCTTTTAACTAAATTGACTTCAGTATTTATAAAATTTATTGGTCGAAACGTCTATTTGGTCCAGTATGATCTAATACTAACCAGCCCGTTACAGACCCCTAACGAGCACGTGTTGATAAATGTTTCCTCGGTTTCATACTTCTAATCTTGTCTGGTTCGACCACCATGCTTGTGTTTAAGAGTGATATGTCAGGCCTATGTGAATCTAGGATTTTATAATGAAATGCTTATAAAAATGAGAAGATACATATGCAAGATCAGTTCTTTCACCCTTAAATTGTAATTGTAATTGTAATTGTAATTGTAATTGTAATTGTAATATGGGCGGTTAATTGATGTGACAGATTTTTCATATATTCCTCATGGCATGTGCTGGGTGGGATGGTGCGGAAAATTCTAAACTGTACAGCAGCCCAAATTGTAAACTTGTAAATATATAATAAAGGAAATTTTTCTGGTATCAAAGTAGCTAGACAGTATATATGTACACAGGGGAAGAATATTGGCATCTAATCCCTGATTTATTGAGCAACAATTCACTTGTATAACGTAAGATGCATGCATTGAGGCATTTTAGTGTGCTTTATAGTATTGGTACTATAAAACATTTACAGCCATTAGATCATGTCCAAACTATATCAACCATTAGATTTCATTTAAATTATTAATTTATTATTTTATTTGTGTGTTGATGACCGGTACAACCGGTTTTGTGAAACCAATTACACTCTTCTTCTCAGTTCTCACCGCCGAAACCCCTCTTTCTTCGATCCTCTTCCTTCCTTCGATCCTCTCCACGCAGCTAGCGAGTGAAGACGGCGATCCTCTCCACGCAGTGGGTGACGACGAGTGAAGACGGCGAGCAGTGGGTGACGACGAATAGAAGGCGGCAGTGAAGGCGGCGATTCGGATTCCGGATTCCGACGACGACAGTGAAGGCGGCGAGCAAGGGACGACGAGAGCGAGCATCTCTTCGTCGATTGCAAACGAAGACCGCCGGCGTCAAACCCACGCCCACCTCGGCCGCTTCTCTTTTCCCAGCTCGCCTTTCTTCCACATTCTCAAGGCCAATTGCTCAGCTGGGTGCTATTCAATCGCTTCTCCCGCTTCACTCCCCGCCGTGTCGGCATCGATTCCACCAGCTCGCGGTCGCTGTCTCAGGGTATGCTCTGCAGTGCGAACCCAGGTTATCTGTAAGCAACTTTTTACTCTTGAATTCTATTCCATGTATCGTTTACTTCGTTCTAGTTTTTGACAGCAGTTCAATTGAATCTCTGTGCTTCCAATTTTCCCCCTCCTACTAACTTAGTGCTGGATAGGAAATGCCACGAACCAGAACAATTGACTAGTGAATTCCCATCGATAGCTAACGAAGACTCTGCACAAAACCCCTCTTCCCATCGATAGCTAACGAAGACTCTGCACAAAACCCCTCCTCCACCGCAACTTTTTTCGGTTAGTACTATCTTCTTTGTGTTTAGCTTGATAATTAGCTGCAATGGCGGTTCCTGTTGTTCCTTCACTTGTTTTGAAGGAGAATTTGCAGCATTTACCTTCTCTTCACCTTGTTTTTGCTGTTGAGGTTGTGCTTGATTTGTCTCCGTTTCAGCAACATCCTTAGCAGGCTCTTGTTGTTGTTGTTGTTCCTCAATCTTCTTCTGTTGAGGAGGAGCATTGGGTTCTTCTGTTGTTAGGGTAGAAGAATTCGAGTCTGAAGAATTCACAGCAGTTGTGGTTGTTGTTGTTGTGGTTGCGGTTGTGGTTGTTGATGATGCTTCCTTTGGTGAGGAAGCTTTGGATGGATGTTGTTGTTGTAGTTCTTCCATCTTCTTCGTGGGAGGATTGATATGATATGATATGGTAGATAGAAAGGCTGTGTTCACTGAGAAAGTTGGGAATTTTTCTCTGTTTAGCCAATTGATGAATGTAGTTAAGTTTGAAGACCATGATTTGTTTGATTGATTTAAGTCTCTTTGCTATGGTTAGTGGCTCCAAGCATGCGATTAACCAACAGAAATGGGTGCTTATCTTAACTGTTCACTTCATAGTATGAGTTTTCTGTTTGTGGAGTTATCGGATGTATCCGAAGGGACTGTCTGTGGAGTTAGAATTGTGTATATAATGTAGAAAAGAAGTTTAGTGCAGTGGGTAAAAGAGCTTCCATGAATGATGAGACATTAAGGTCAAACTTAGTTAGGATATTTAGAGCATGGTTGTTGGCCTTAGAATATACGGCAGCTTGGGAGTTACTCCCAGTTTTAGTCTTTATTGTACATTCCGTGCCTCGATCTCATTTTATATGACTGATCAAAATTCTAGAATCTTTAGCAAGCGTTGGTATCGTGGTGGAACATTTGATACAATCAGTAGACCTCATTGTAACGCATAACAGCATCTTTTTCTTGCCTACTTCATACTGCTCCAAATTGTTAGAAGCTCGTGTATTTGTTATGTTTTCAGAGCTACTGATTATGCTGCTTCTAATGAAGGTGGTGATCGTATGTTGGTTAACGAATTGAGGAAAATGAAATGTTAAAGTTTCATGATGCTTTATCAATACTACTGTTCTGCTGCATCTTGTCCCCAACCTAGGAAATGGCGGGTAGAAGGTTACAAATGTTCAGTGGCTTTTGTTTTATTTGCAAGATATTTTGGATTTTTAGTTCATCTAAAGACTTGGGAAGAAATAAAGATGGATTTTCAATATTGTCCCATTGAAGTCGTTCTTCTTGGTAACTACTTAGCCAAGTCTAGACTTACGGAAGGTGTTGATGTGATTTTGGAAGAAGAATAGAAGTTTAGCTCTGCACCTGCTTTACTTGCTAAATGATGTTTATTCTTTTTGGACAACCTTTTAGCTGCTTTCTTCACGGTTGGGGGTCGGGTTCAAGTAGAAAAGAGGAAGTAAATAGGGTGTTTCCAATTTGAGGGTTCCATCTCACGGTTTTTGTCCCGGGCGTGATATAACCCGTGAAACCTCCTGGAACTTACATTTTTTGAAAAAACATTCTAACGGCACATCTCCCGGCCGTGAGTTTTAAGTTGTGAGGCGTGTTTTTTGGGTTTCAGCTGTGACCATCTCACGGGTTGATCTCACGCCCGTGAGATTAACAGATGAGCCGTGAGAAGTCCAGCATTTCAATTACACAAACACGGCTCATCTCACGGCCGTGATACTGTCGAACCCAACCCGTGAAACCCCCTGGAATTCCCCCTTTTTTTAAAAAAATCTAACGGTTCATCTCCCGGCCGTGAGATTTTCAGATGTGAGGCGTGTTTTTGAGTTTCAGTTGTGCCCATATCACGGGTTAATCTCACGCCCGTGATATTTAAAGATGAGCCGTGAGAAGTCCATTTTTACATACAAGGTGTTTTTAGTTTCACGGCTTAGTTTAACGGCCGTGATTTTTGTAGCCAAAGCCGTGAGATTGTCTGGGATATAAAAACTACTCTTTGCTTCTCACGGGTCATGTCACGGCCGTGAGAATTTGCATTTTGGGTGAAATTTAATGGAAGCTGGGTGTTTTGGGTGAAATTTATATATGCCAATGGCGGATTTCATGGTTAATTAGTGTACTCAGGTGTTGATGTAGGGGGTTTTCAGTTCTTCTGGTAGTTAGAACTTGATATCGAGGCAAGTGTGCTTGTGAGCTCTGGTATAGTCTTGCATTTGTTCAATATTGATAAAAGCCATATATTGAAAACCAGGATTGAACTCATTACCTGGAGAATGTGTTTACCGAATGATTAACTGATCCTTTTCTTGAATGAAACTTTGTCATAACCACGTTTTCTCGAATGTGTTTAAGTGTGAAAACTGAAAGTTGCTTCTTTAGATCAGTGGTGGACGACTCTGGCTTTGTGTATTTTGTTAGTACTCTTCGGCATGCTTATAATTCGTGTTTCAAGGCATGCTTATAATTTTTTTGTTGTTTTAATTTTGCAGTTTGCTAAAATTGTTCTATAATGAAGACGAAGAGTCATGAAATTTTTAGCACCCGCTGTTCTCCTAGGAAAGTATTCTCAGTAGTCTCAAATTTAGAGGCTTGTCAATCAGAGGCCATTAAGAGATGTGGCTTTGGTCGTATGCTTGAAGTCAAAGGAAGAATGCTCCAACGTGAGTTGTTGGAGATCCTTTTGAAGAGCTTTAATGTGGAAGAAAGCTCAATTCAGGCTTATGGGTTGAAAGTCCATATTTCGGCCAAAGATTTCGAGCGAATTATGGGCGTGCCTGAGGGAGGTACTGATATCATCTTGAATGGTGAAGAAGTGGGACGAAGATCCGAGGAATTGAATCCATTTAGAGTGTATTCGACAGTTGATTGTGCCCGACAGGCGATTTCGACAAGCTTAATGCGGAAGGCTTTGTCGGAGATGAAAGATAGCGGTGATCTATTTCTTCAAACGTTTATTTTGTACGTAATGGGGGTGCTATTAGTACCAACTAGAAGAGATGACTTTTCGTTATCTTCGGTATACGCTGTCCTCGATGTTGCCGATATTCCGAAGAAGAATTGGGCATCGTTTTGCTTCAATGAATTGGTCAAATGCATCTGCGACCATAATGCTGAGGGGAGAAAGTATATACCGGGTTGCTTGCTGTTCTTGGAGGTAAATAATTGCTAATCCCTACTTTCTACATATTTGTAATGATTAATCATCATGTTGATTATAGTATTTTTTTTTTTTGTAGTTAATATTCTTGGAGCATGCAAATGGTATTTTCGAAACTATTGATAGGAGTTTGGATTTGTTGAGCTGGGGGAGCAGAGACGTGGAGTTATTGTTAACAGAAGTGGTAAGACTGATAGTATATTTGATTCTTTTGACGAGTTGGAGCATGCTAATGGTACATTTGGTTCCCTTTTTAATTAATTTGTAGGTTTCCAGCAGTTCGGGTAAAAGATCAGCTGAGGATGTAGGTTTGAAATCACCTGCAAGAAAACGGGAAAAAAGAGATGGGAAACGGCAAAAACCCGACGGTGATGAGCTGCTTCTCTGTGAGCGTATTGACGCTCGGTTTGCTACCATGGAGGGTAGAATTGACAACTTTAGGCAAGAATTTAGAGTTGCAATGGGTGATGCTGCTTCCAGAGAGAATGAGCTAATGAGTCGGGTTGTGAATATGGAGAACGAATTTCGGGCTTTTAGAGACGAAATTGGTAGTCAAGTGAAGTCCATTATAGAGGCAGTGAAAGCAACTATAGGTGATCCGTTGTCAAGGGAGCAGCCTACTGAGTTGAAAAAGAACGATCAGAAGGATGAGGCTGATAATGTGAAAGCTTCTGCAGCTGTTTTGTTGTCAACGGAGCAGCTTATCAGAGGGGAAAAGGGCAATCAGAAGGCTGAGGTTGAAAAACCAAGTGAACCCATTTCTCCTACCTCCGAATCTGTCAAGACTCAAGGGTTAGGTGTTAAGAATTGGGGAGAAGCTGAGGGGGAAATTGGAGATGACTGCGGTTCTGAATCTCCTTCTGTCAAAGTTGTGAAAAAGTCTCCTTGCAAGCAGGCGAAAGCGTCTAAAGTTGAGAAATTCATATTGTTGAGTGATGAAAGTGTTGCTGCTAATGATGGTTGTGCCAAGACTGTGAAGGTATTACACTTTATTAAGTTTTCTAATTATTTGTACTTATGGTGTGGTTACTAATGAACTTGTTTTGTTTTTATGTTTTTGAACAATAAAGGGGCGAAAGGGAGGTGGACTACGTAGTGTATCTAAATTGAAGCCTAATTTGTATGTGGTCTCTCCATTCGAACGTGCAAATCCCAGAGCTAAGAAAGGACAACCTTTGTACCGTGCTCCTCCCTTTGTTGTTCAGACACCATTGACTCTGGAGGCAGTAAAGATGATTCAATTTGCTTTTAGTAGTTCGCTTCCCGAAAGGTACCTCCCGAAATCATTACAAGTAAGATTGGATCATATCTGTAGGAAATTTTTGGTATTTGCCTTATTCTAATGTTGTGGTGTT